AATAAATAAAGAAAATGAAGTTTCAGAACCTCAAGAGTCATCAAGTAACATGAATATTTGCCTAAATATGAATATTCCAATTCCTTCAAAGTCTTGTAGTTAGGAATGTCTTAATTTGAATCTAGATAAACATTTGTGATGTACTACAATTCTAAAAACTGTGCAGGCCTCAGAAATGACGATAATCGCTATTTGATATTGAAATTAGTTTCAGTATCATGACTATTCCAAGCACATAATACTTATATTTGTTTCTGAAATATTACTTTGAAGTATCTTACAGCCTGTCTCTTATACACATCTAGATGTGTATAAGAGACAGGTACATATGACTGTTAACGTGTTAATAATACTTACACTTAAAAATGAAAAATAAGATAATATTTACATTTATTCATATATATGTATGTAAACAAACAGACGTTATTTCATAAAATATATTTTTACATCAATAAAATTGTATTGTACATTATAGCTGTCTCTTATACACATCTAGATGTGTATAAGAGACAGGTACATATGACTGTTAACGTGTTAATAATACTTACACTTAAAAATGAAAAATAAGATAATATTTACATTTATTCATATATATGTATGTAAACAAACAGACGTTATTTCATAAAATATATTTTTACATCAATAAAATTGTATTGTACATTATAGCTGTCTCTTATACACATCTAGATGTGTATAAGAGACAGGTACATATGACTGTTAACGTGTTAATAATACTTACACTTAAAAATGAAAAATAAGATAATATTTACATTTATTCATATATATGTATGTAAACAAACAGACGTTATTTCATAAAATATATTTTTACATCAATAAAATTGTATTGTACATTATAGCTGTCTCTTATACACATCTAGATGTGTATAAGAGACAGGTACATATGACTGTTAACGTGTTAATAATACTTACACTTAAAAATGAAAAATAAGATAATATTTACATTTATTCATATATATGTATGTAAACAAACAGACGTTATTTCATAAAATATATTTTTACATCAATAAAATTGTATTGTACATTATAGCTGTCTCTTATACACATCTAGATGTGTATAAGAGACAGGTACATATGACTGTTAACGTGTTAATAATACTTACACTTAAAAATGAAAAATAAGATAATATTTACATTTATTCATATATATGTATGTAAACAAACAGACGTTATTTCATAAAATATATTTTTACATCAATAAAATTGTATTGTACATTATAGCTGTCTCTTATACACATCTAGATGTGTATAAGAGACAGCATATGTACACATATACTTGTTCATGGTACCATCAAGGCTTTTTTCACGAATTAAAGGTATAAAATTAAAGGGACAAAGAAATTATGTACAATATTAAATGAAATTATACGAATATATTTCATCTGTACATATTCAGTTTGATGAGATTCGCTAATTTATATTTCGACAATAATAATATTTAAAAGTTTACAAAAT